TGGTAAAAATGTAAGCACTCTTTCCTACTTTAGTTCTATGGGAAGACATTAAATTTTGTGACGGAAGGAAATATTATTCTAGAGGTGCTTAAAAGATATTTTAGAAATAAGTGGAGTCAATGGAACTAAGATACATTTGTATCAGTTTAAAATTAGAGAAGTTGGTTGTTGAAAACTTTTCTCCTGAAGCACTAAGTCTAACTAATAGTCATGTATCTAAAATAAACTCAATTATGTAAGGGTTGATTAATTAGCTTTTGGATTTTTTTTTTTTTTTTTTTTTGGCAGTTGGTCAGTGAGGGGATCTGAACCCCTGACCCTGGTGTTATAACACTGTGCTCTAACCAGCTGAGCTACCCCACCAGCCTAGCTTGTAGATTTTAACTTGTTTCTTCTTCCTCTTTCTACTTATTTCCTGTCTTCAGCGACTCCTTACATTTTTTAGCACCTCTTAGGCTGAACAGCAGTAGATTCAGATTAAACTCAATTTTGTCCTTGTTTCTCAATCTAGGGGCTATGGCAAGATCTCTTTCAAGAATTTGGAAAAAAGAGGCACATAGTGGATCAGTGAAAAAATATGTAAAGACACCTTCAAAACAGAACATCTCACAGAGGACCTTTTAGAAATACTATTTAGCAATACCTATTACAATCCTGCTGTAATTCCATCTAAAAGAAGATGATCCTTAGAAGGAGTCTGTCAGGTATGCTGGCACAGAACAAGGAGCTTACCAGTTTCAGTGTTGGTAGTAGCAACTCAAGCAATTCCTTGGTGATATGGTGACCTAAAACACCATTAGGAGTATCTGATCTTTTTGGCAGTCTTGTTCTCACTGAGGAAGGGGACTTAACAGATTCTCAGAGTTTAAGGCCATTCCACAATCAAATTGCATAACTCTCCTTTTTCTGAACTCTATGACTAATAGGCATAGATTGTTGTTTTCTGATGTGACTTGCCAACAGTGTGAAAAATAAACTTAGACAATACCCTATCTGCCTGATGGCTGTACCTTTCATTGTAAATTAACAAATGGATATTCTATTTTTTCCCTTTTTTAACATGTCAGTCACATTGTTGATAAGAATCTGCATCCTCAAGTCAATGAAAGTAAGTCTGGCCCTTGAAGTCTGAGTTTCTGAACCTGCAAGTCTCAGGTCTTAAACAGTACAGTCTTTAGGCTACCGTGGTAAAGTTCTTTTTATGCAGTTAACAGTTCACCCAGAAACATCTGTGTATTATAGTAGAGGACATCACTTCTTTTTTAAGCTTCCATACATATCATTTGGGAAGAATTTTCAACAGAGAAAATTTACAACCGACTCTTAAAACAAGCTTTTCTGGAATTATCCACCACATATCACAGATGAACTTACAGCTTAAAGAGAAAAATATTTAAAACATTATGACCAGTTTGGACGGTACTTTGAGATGGGTCCTAGGTCCTTTAGTAGTATGGAAGATAAACTATATCCATACAATTAATATGTTTTTAATTAAATTCACTCTGACACAGAATAGTTTACTTCTTTAATCTCTCTTATTTGGTACTTTCTAATACAATGGAGAAATTAGGCTTTCAGGATCCTGGAGGAAGACATTGTTTTGGAACATGGACACTTATTTTTCTTTCTCCCTTGGAATAAGAATGTAGTCTTGCTAATGCTCAGTCTAGTTAAAAACCAGGAGAGCCTAATAGTAAGTTTTCCTTTAAACAGAAGTATATAGATTTTTCTGGAGGAGGATAGAAGCTATGAATATAAAAGGGCAGTATTGCAGCAAAAATTGTGCTTTCCTGATTTAGAAAGATCTGACTTACTTTAAACAGTATCACAGGCACTTGTATGCTCTCATTAGGGACCCCAAGAACTAAGGGAAACTAAGCTGTGATACGCTACATCTGCTCTTGCCCTGTGTGAGCATTTTGTTTAAGAGTTTGTGTATTTGGCTATTTATATTGTAATTTAACCCAATCCTGCATTGTGTGTGTCTCCATATGTACACGTTCTCTTCCTGCTACTCCTAACCAACATAAAAAGTTGTGTGCTCCTTTAAATTAGCATATGCCACTATATACTGTTTTTTATTTACAGGACTAGTTATTTAGTGTCATTTAACCTTTATTCTTAATGTTTAGATAACATATTTTGGACCTCTGAATTACCAAAATGCATCTCTTCTTGAAAATACGTAATTCTAGTCCAAAGAAAATGGTTATTGTTTGTTGCAAAAAGATAACTAGGAATGGTTTGGCCAAAAAATCAATCTATTAAGATTTATGTCCCAAGAACAATGATTTTTGAGTACGAAGAAAGGAAATTGACATTCTTTAGAAGTGAACAATTATATTTAAAATTTAACAGCAAATATAATACCACATTTAGAGTTTGTTTTTAAATAAATTCAGAAATCTAATTAGCATTCAGCAAGCAGAAGACTGAATTTTCTCTAAGATTTACAAGGCTTCAAGCAAATTTTTAACAGCATTCATTAGAATTCTAAACTTGAGATGATTCAGAGAGGGAAAAAAGAAATCCGGAAATGACAAGTGACACTTCACATGCAGCACATTACAAGGGAATGGCAGCCAGTAAGGAGTCCTAGGCACACTCAGGCTCTTATTAAATTTCGGTGCCAGAGTTGACATTCCTGTAGGAAGGGAAGAAAATCACCTACCTCTGGCTGTTTGTGAGGCTTAATTAGTTCATATTTGTAAAGCACTTTGAAATCCTTGGATGAAAAGTGCTGCGTAAGTGAAAAGTATCATTATTGTATTAAAATTAGATAAAAGCAATACAAGTGTTTTTCTTCTTTTAAATTCCTAAGTCAGCATCATGAATGCAGAGCAAGTAATGAATTTATTAGTGGATGCTACCTTCTTCCCCCACCCCCCAAAAAGAATAAACTCAAGCCAAACAGGCTCATAGAATCTTTGACTTAGAAACATTTTTAGAAATAATCTCATCTACACTTTCATCCACATCCTTTACATGGTCTACCCAGCTCTTTTCCAAACATATCCAGAAATGGAGTTCTCACTACTTTCTCAAAGCAGTTCATTCCATTTATAAATACATCAAACTGTTGGAGAGTTCTTACTGACACTGATCTGAAATCCAGTTCAATTAGTCTTAGAATTAATTACCCTCTGGAGTCGAATTCTTTGATATGACTGCTTCACAACCCTCATTACTTAATCCTCATGACACGGTCTCAGATCTTTACCATATCATTTGCTCTGCAAAATCACTTCAGTTTCCTAAATTGAAGCAGCTGAAATTAACATGATACTTATAACTGCTCTGAAACCAGTACAGAAAATAATGAGAGCCTATCTCTGACCCTCTACTAATGTAGGCTAAAACTGTATTGATATTAAACAAAATTTTTAAGGAGTCCTTACCACAAAGTTGGCTAACATTGAGAATATATGTATGTATATAATTGTGTGTATAAAAACATACATAAAAATTTCACTTGTAATTATCAAGTTAAATTTCATCTTTTTAGTTTTAGTCTGTCTTTAGGGACTTTATTCTTCCAAGACAAAAATCCTTAATGACATTATAAATAGGGAATAGTGAATCTTATTAACTATCCATTCTTTGTGATCCATAAGGTAATACTGAAGGCTGGAATTCTTTTGGGATTGTCAAGTGAAAGCACTTACCAAGACAAAAATC